AATATTCTTATCAGTTATGTTAGGCTAAACCATTTGGAAAAACCAAATTAGCTTTCGAATCTCCTGACCAGATGGCTCCACGTATTTATAATTTGCTACTTAAAGAATCCAAAACTGTTTCAATGTTCAAACAAACACTCAAGAATCATCTTGTTGATAAGTGTTATTATAGTTTTGAAGAATTTTTGTGTATAAGTAGGTAGTTTTCGTCCTCGTTCTTTCAGGATTTCTTTAACCTCCGATCTCCTTTTCTCTTATTGTTTTTTTGACGATTCCTATACAAATTTCGTAACTTTGTCTTAAAGGAAAATGAAGATTATTATTATTATTATTATTCATTTAAGTTCATGTAATTCCAGTCACGACCCTGCGGCCTCCGACGTCACGCAGAGTCGTGCTGGATAAAATCCAGTGACTACTCCTCACAGCCTGTGAGGTGAGTAATCACTGGGACCAAGTACCGTGTGCCCTGAGTAGACGCAATGATCCAAGTATGACGGCCTTCTGCATACCACCAGCCAGGATGTGTGCCTTATCACGGCACGCTGGGATTTTCTGGATCTCCGAGAGTAGCGTGTGTCGTGTGCCTCCTAGGGAGCCGATAATCAGGATGACCAATTCCACAGAATGGTCTGGATAGAGCCGGCGGAGATCGAAGAGAAGATCTCGATATTTAGTCCGTTTCTCCTCCTCCTTCAAAACGATGTTCGGTTATTATTATTATTATTATTATTATTTTTAAATTCATATGATTCCAGTCACGACCCTGCGGCCTCCGACGCCACGCAGAGTCGTGCTGGATAAAATCCAGTGACTACTCCTCACAGCCTGTGAGGTGAGTAATCACTGGGACCAAGTACCGTGTGCCCTGAGTAGACGCAATGATCCTAGTATGACGGCCTTCTGCATTCCACCAGCCAGGATGTGTGCTTTATCACGGCACGCTGGGATTTTCTGGATCTCCGAGAGCAGCGTGTGTCGTGTGCCTCCTAGGGAGCCGATTATCAGGATGACCAATTCCACAGAATGGTCTGGATAGAGCCGGCGGAGTTTGAAGAGAAGATCTCGATATTCAGTCCGTTTCTCCTCCTCCTTCAAAACGATGTTCGGTTCGGCTGGCGCCGAAAACTCGATCACGAACATCGCTTTGGTTTGATGGTCGAGGAGGACTACATCAGGCTTGTTAGCTTGTATTTGCCTGAGGGTGGGGAATGAGAAGTTCCAATATATTCGGCACCTCTCATTCTCCACAACGGACTCAATATCCCCCGGAGCATAGGGCAGCACTGGGGTCTCGTCTATTCCGTACGAGTGCCTCAAATAGTAGTAGAGCACTCGCAATTCCGCATTGTGTCGATGGATATAGGCCGAGACTGCATACACCGTGCAAGAAGACAGCAGGTGCATAATTGTCTCGGGCGCCCTGCGGCAGGCCCTGCAACTTGTGTCAGGGACCTCCATACCCATGACACGGCTACGGTAGACGAGAGTGTTGAAAACCCCATCCTGGCATGCCATGATGAACCCCTCTGTTTCCGATTTGAGCCCGCCTGACTTCAGAAAAGCAAAAGTCAGTTCTTTGGATAAGCCCCGGTCTTCAATGGTCTTGAAGTAGACCGAATGCATGGGCTTATCCATGTGAAGCTGCAGAAGCTTTTTCACTTCTGCAGCTTTGATGCGGGCTTTTCTCCGAGCGGGTTCCAGCTCAGTAATTGAGTCCTGAGCCTCGCGCTCGGAGTCGAAAATCAGAGACAATTCATCGGCTGCTCGACGTGCTGCCCTGAAAAGAAAAGCTCCTACTCCTGCCTCTTCATGGGTTTTAACCATTTGCAGGAGGGGATCCGAACTCCTGATGACTTTGCAGGCGCCATCCAGAACCATTCTGTTATGGAGATACTCCAAGCTCAAGAGTCCACGGCCACCCTGGTCTCTAGGTATGTATAACCGTGGAACGGACGAATTCGGATGCAGACTCCTATGGAGATGCATCATCTTGCGAGTACTTACGTCAAGTTGTCGCAGCTCGACTTGAGTCCACTTTATCACTCCAAATGAGTAAAGTAGGATCGGAACAGCAAGCATATTAGTAGCAGCGACTTTGTTCTTGCCCGACAGTTCTGACGACCAGATCTGTCGGAGCCGCTGCCGATACTTGCTGCGGAGAGCGTCTTTTACCCGTTGTGCCTCCTGGATATGAGTTTCCTCTACACCCAGGTAAGTGTACGTCTCTCCGGCATCCAGGTGGTGTAGGATGCTTCCGTCCACGAGCTGCGCGTCCTTGTCGTAGTTCTCGCATCGTCCTCTCTTGAGATGAACCAGTGCACATTTGTCCATCCCGAATTCCATTCCAATTGCCTGCGTGTACTCCTGCACCACCCTGAGGGATTGGTCCATATCCCTCTCACCAGAGGCATAAAGTTTGAGGTCATCCACATAGAATAAGTGGGTGACCTTATGCCTCCGGTAACTAGGTGGGCCGCAGTTGTATCCTCTGGTTTTCCTGAGCTCAACGGATAGTGGCAGAAGTGAGATGCAGAATAGGAGAGGGCTAAGGGAGTCCCCTTGAAATACTCCTCTCCTTATGATGACTGGCTCTGTCTGGACTCTCGTATTACCTGATGTTATAGTAAAGCGGGTCTTCCAGACTAGCATCAGTTGTTCTATGCATCTCACTTTATTATTATTATTTTAGTTCATATAATTCCAGTCATGACCCTGCGGCCTCCGACGTCACGCAGAGTCGTGCTGGATAAAATCCAGTGACTACTCCTCACTGCCTGTGAGGTGAGTAATCACTGGGACCAAGTACCGTGTGCCCTGAGTAGACGCAATGATCCCAGTATGACGGCCTTCTGCATTCCACCAGCCAGGATGTGTGCCTTATCACGGCACGCTGGGATTTTCTGGATCTCCGAGAGCAGCGTGTGTCGTGTGCCTCCTAGGGAGCCGATAATCAGGATGACCAATTCCACAGAATGGTCTGGATAGAGCCGGCGGAGTTCGAAGAGAAGATCTCGATATTTAGTCCGTTTTTCCTCCTCCTTCAAAACGATGTTCGGTTCGGCTGGCGCCGAAAACTCGATCACGAACATCGTTTTGGTTTGATGGTCGAGGAGGACTACATCAGGCTTGTTAGCTTGAATTTGCCTGAGGGTGGGGAATGAGAAGTTCCAATAAATTCGGCACCTCTCATTCTCCACAACGGACTCAATATCCCCCGGAGCATAGGGCAGCACTGGGGTCTCGTCTATTCCGTACGAGTGCCTCAAATAGTAGTAGAGCACTCGCAATGCCGCATTGTGTCTATGGATATAGGCCGAGACTGCATACACCGTGCAAGAAGACAGCAGGTGCATAATTGTCTCGGGCGCCCTGCGGCAGGCCCTGCAACTTGTGTCAGGGACCTCCATACCCATGACACGGCTACGGTAGACGAGAGTGTTAAAAACCCCATCCTGGCATGCCATGATGAACCCCTCTGTTTCCGATTTGAGCCCGCCTGACTTCAGGAAAGCAAAAGTCAGTTCTTTGGATAAGCCCCGGTCTTCAATGGTCTTGAAGTAGACCGAATGCATGGGCTTATCCATGTGAAGCTGCAGGAGCTTTCTCACTTCTGCAGTTTTGATGCGGGCCTTCCTCCGAGCAGGCTCTAGCTCAGTAACTGAGTCCTGAGCCTCGCGCTCGGAGTCGAAAATCAGAGACAATTCATCGGCTGCTCGACGTGCTGCCCTGAAAAGAAAAGCTCCTACTCCTGCCTCTTCATGGGTTTTAACCATTTGCAGAAGGGGGTCCGAACTCCTGATGACTTTGCAGGCGCCATCCAGAACCATTCTGTTATGGAGATACTCCAAGCTCAAGAGTCCACGGCCACCCTGGTCTCTAGGTATGTATAACCGTGGAACGGACGAATTTGGATGCAGACTCCTATGGAGATGCATCATCTTGCGAGTACTTACGTCAAGTTGTCGCAGCTCGACTTGAGTCCACTTTATCACTCCAAATGAGTGAAGTAGGATCGGAACAGCAAGCATGTTAGTCGCAGCGACTTTGTTCTTCCCCGACAGTTCTGACGACCAGATCTGTCGGAGCCGCTGCCGATACTTGCTGCGGAGAGCGTCTTTTACCCGTTGTGCCTCCTGGATGTGAGTTTCCTCTACACCCAGGTAGGTGTACGTCTCTCCGGCATCCAGGTGGTGTAGGATGCTTATTATTATTATTATTATTATTATTATTATTATTATTATTATTATTATTATTATTATTATTATTATTATTATTATTATTATTTTGAGTTTATATAATTCCAGTCACGACCCTGCGGCCTCCGACGTCACGCAGATTCGTGCTGGATAAAATCCAGTGACTACTCCTCACAGCCTGTGAGGTGAGTAATCACTGGGACCAAGTACCGTGTGCCCTGAGTAGACGCAATGATCCTAGTATGACGGCCTTCTGCATTCCACCAGCCAGGATGTGTGCCTTATCACGGCACGCTGGGATTTTCTGGATCTCCGAGAGCAGCGTGTGTCGTGTGCCTCCTAGGGAGCCGATTATCAGGATGACCAATTCCACAGAATGGTCTGGATAGAGCCGGCGGAGTTCGAAGAGAAGATCTCGATATTTAGTCCGTTTTTCCTCCTCCTTCAAAACGATGTTCGGTTCGGCTGGCGCCGAAAACTCGATCACGAACATCGCTTTGGTTTGATGGTCGAGGAGGACTACATCAGGCTTGTTAGCTTGTATCTGCCTGAGGGTGGGGAATGAAAAGTTCCAATAAATTCGGCACCTCTCATTCTCCACAACGGACTCAATATCCCCCGGAGCATAGGGCAGCACTGGGGTCTCGTCTATTCCGTACGAGTGCCTCAAGTGATAATATTATTATTATTATTATTATTATTATTATTATTATTATTATTAAATATTCATATTTTGGTGTTTACTATCTGTAGTTCAGAGATTTCCCATTCTTAATGAATCACCCTGAGCTATTATTTCAGGAAACTGGTCACGCTCTACTTGAAGATGGGAACATCGATAGTTCAATGATAGAATGGATACGAATGGGTACCACAGTTGCCACCAATGCTCTTCTGGAACGGAAAGGCGAAAAAATGGCATTTGTCATCAACAAAGGTTTCAGGGATATTTTACTGATTGGCAATCAAGCTAGACCCAAAATTTTCGATCTGGTGAGCATTTTATAACATGCATTTTCGTCAATTATTCATCATTCTTTGTTTCTCTTGAAGAATATTAGAAGACCGGAAATTCTCTACTCAGAAGTAGTGGAGGTAGATTGCAGGATAATACCAGTGCTAGAAGGAAAATGCAGATTAGGAGAACTGGCGAAAAATTGGCGGCAGGTTGATGGAAAAACTGGGGAGAAATTCTATGTTACTAGGGAACTCGATAGGGAAGAAATTAGACGTAGTTTAAGGCAGATAAAAGAGAAAGGAATAGACAGCATATCTGTAGCACTTGCTCATAGTTATACTTATTACGATCATGAATTAGAAGTAGGAGAAATCGCCAAAGAAATAGGTAAGTGATCGTATCTACTATAATTATGTGATGTAGTAGGGGAGCCCAAGCGGGAATTTTGGGATTTATTCGAGAGCAGGAGAATAGCATAAGGGGGTAACCTTGCACCATGTCTGGGGGTCAATTCTCGAACCGTTCGAATTAAATCGTATACGAATAAAGAAAGATGATCTTACGTATGTAATGCATGTGGAAGTGGAATAGACGATCGAATTCGTATAGGAAATAAATTCGAGAATCGACCTTCTGGGTTTTTTATATGGTGTCGAACGTCCAGGGCAATCGATCAGATTAGTTATTTATTATACAAGGAAAAAAGTGGAGGGAGACTGCCGTTAGCTAAAATCTAATATTTTTCCCGTGTATAATATCCTATTTCTTATAAAATTATCGACTTGAAATTGACAGGAATGACACTTGCGTTGCAGGCATCTTATTGCATGCATCTTCATCATTCTTTTGAAGTAATCGAATATCTGTCAATCTATTTCTGTGATTTGATTTCAAAAAATTGCCCGCGATGTCGAATGAAAGATGAAAAGACTTGCAGTTCTTTCTCGGAGACGGTGTTATTGAATAATTTTTTGGAACTATAGCACACCAAGAGCCATCAACAGTGTAAATATATATGATATATATTCGGGAAAAAAGTACTCACTGTCAACAGAGATGAAATTTCAAATTTATTTCCCGTCACAGAAAAAATGACATTTTATATGAAGATTGCACTTATTTTGGCTTGAATATGTGGAAATGGAAAGGGTGTTCTGTTAGAAAAAACAAAATTAATGGCATTTCCAGAAAAATTTCGGAAAGATTCATCTACAAACGCAGAGCTTATACCCTCTGTGTCACCCGGGATGTCCAGATAAGCTTTTTAACTTGAAATTGTAAATTTTCTGAGCTGTTGAAGTCCTGGTACAAAAACACACCCTGTACATATTATGATTTAGTTAGTACATTAAGTAACCAAAAAAAATCCAACCGTCATATTAACGAAATTTCTCTACATAATTGTCAAATTATGGGTCAATACGACGAGGACATATTGAGATGAAGAGTCTGTATAATAATCTGATGCGCTCGAGTATTTCAAGGTCACCTTTTTTTCTCCATTTCTAAAAATTGATCATGACTTTTGGTCACGTCCAAATCGCCAGTCTTTCGAATTGCAGCTACTTGAGGGTTCATTTAACATCTCTTCTCTGATCGGACACATTCGAATATTTTTTTACCTAGTCTCTACCCCCTTCGTACGGCCAGTGAAAGGGCATACCTCTTTCTAGCATCTCATCTTCATTATCTAATACGTCTCCACAACGCTCGAGTAAATCCCTATTTAGCCTCTTTGCCTCCTCCACCTACAACTTCATACAATGTCACCTTGTATGGAAATCTTAATTCCACCACTACCGTGAAAATTACTTTTCTGGGCGCTTATAATAATTGCCTTCTGAAGAGAACACGGTGAAAACGCTGAAAGTCAATTTTTGGGATATGAGATATTAGTACCAAAAAATGCCAATAAAAATTAAAATTCAATGCTCTGATGGGTTGAGGGTTGTAATACTAAACAATATCGCTGTACTGTACATGCAAAACGTGGAGTAGTAATGATTTTGGAATATGTTGTTTAGTTCGTTGCCCTGATGAAAAATCCATGTTTTCGACTTTGAGGAGGGTCGACGCGATCCGCGATCTTGGATTGAAGGTACAACAAATTATTTTCGTCAAAATAACTCCTCAACGGTTGATCCTATACAACAAGAATGTTCGGATTTTCCTGGAAAATTTTGGCATATTTGCTGCTGTACCTCATTGCCCGTTAGACTTACGGTGAAAAAGTGTTTCTACAAAAAATCTAGTAGAATTCAGTGTTCCTCAACTTTGTACTGAGCTTCTTTATCGTAGGATAAACCATTAGAAAGTTATTTCGAGGGAACTGATTTTTTGTACCTTCAATCTAAGATGACGGATTGCGCTAACTCGAAAACTTGGTCATCGGGGCCCCGAACTGAAAAACATATAATACCAAACCAACACTACTCCACATTTTACAAGGCAGAACTGCCTAATATGTACTCGCTAGCTAGACTAATGCTGCGGAGTCCATGTATAATTGAAAAAAAAGTAGCAGTATATGCAACGCATACACTTTAATCTCATCATAGTGTGTTTTTGAATTTTACGAAGAAAAAAACAAAAGACTAGAAATTATGACCGCCGACATTAAATGTTAGGATCTAGGATGAAAAAAAAAGTTGTGGAGGAGTTCACACGAAATAGGTCCAGAATGTAAGTGCTCATTAACATGAATAGATAATGACTTGTAGTGGTAGTTATATGAAACTTTATTTAGGACTTTCATCATTTCTGCAAATGTTTTTTTAACGGACAACCATGGTTTTTGCATTTTTTCCTGTTGTCTCGATCAAATATGGATATTTAAAAAAAATCGAAAAATCATAGCAGTATTTCACCGATAATTGATTACCCGTTGTCAAAAATTCTCATTTGAAATTTATTGAATCGTATGATTTCCGAATATCGAATAAACATCATCTAAACTTTTAAATTCGTTTTCTAGCGAAACAAATGAAAGTGGCTTTCAGCGTTCTTACCTTGTGGTCTTCATGTTATGCATGTTTTTGGTTTTCTGAATGTTTCTCTACTATAAAATTCTACTTCTGCTCAATCCATATAAATATGAAAATACTGAGGTCTGTCAGCTGCTATTGACATTTTTACAGGTTTTGGTCACGTGTCCCTATCGCACCAAGTAATTCCTATGGTGCGTATAGTGCCAAGAGGATTCACTTCGTGTGCAGACGCTTATTTGACTCCCCATGTTAAGAGATACGTGGAAAGCTTCTCCAAAGGCTTCAAAAATCACTTGAAGGGAACGAGGGTGTTGTTCATGCAGAGCGACGGAGGTTTGACACCAATGAACAATTTCAACGGTGCTAGAGCTATTCTTTCTGGACCTGCTGGTGGAGTAAGTCGATACTTACCTACATATACCAAGATATAAAGTGCTGTTCATATGAACTGCTTCAAGTATATTTTATAATACACAGGAATTTATGAAGGGACTCATACAGCAGTGCTCTTCTTTAATGTTCCCCCCCCTTTATTTTTTGAACGGGTCAACAGAAAAATTGACGCTTGGGGTGGTGAAGATGATGCATGAATACTATATTTTAGAGTAACATTGACAGATGAAAATTTCAAGATGGCGACCGGGCGCCATCTGGGGAAAAAATTGAATAAAAAGGCGGTTCTTGTGATACATCTTCTTGAAGCTCCTGACGAATACTTCACAACCCTAAAATATAATGTATCTCCACCTATTACAAAATGGTGGAACATTTGATAATTGTCCGGATACATCGACGTCTACTAGATAATTTGAGGAAATAAGCTGCGTTCAGTTCAGAAGATGCTTGAAATGGTTGCCTTGAACTTCTTGACATAAGAATTGTCTATCCGATATTTCACGCCGAATACTTTCGAACACAGTTACGACGATATTTCTACAAATATTTATCATTATCTGTCGTGTATCCAATATTGAAGCAGATACAGTTTCGTACACATCTTACTGCAAATAGACCTATAAAAAAGTTCTAAAGCTTTCAAATCTGGCGAGCGGCCATTCCAACGACCGGAAAAAATATTATCCAAATGTGTTCAACTTCTATGGAGATGTGGTGGTGCTCCATCTTGTTGGAATACTATATCCATATTGATGTGTTTGTATTCAGGCAACTATTAAATGTTCCGTCACTTTGTAGTAGGCCAAGATATTGAATTTATATTCTCTAGGGTTGCTAGCTAGCTTCAAGAAGATGTATCACAAATACCCCCCTTTCCATTCATGTCGCCATCTTGAAATTTTCATTTGTCAATTTTGCTCCAAAATATATTATTCATGCACCAATTGCATTACCCCAAGTTCCAGTTTCTTTTGTTGACCCTCTCCAAAAATAAAAGGAGGGGAACATTAAAGGAAAGCACTATATAGCCAAATGGTACATAACAATAAAATATGAATTTTTTCTTAGTCCGAATCTAGATCTTTTACCTAATATGCCATATTGAATATTCTCAATAGAGAAACTTCGCTGCCAATTTTTAGCAAATTACAATGAAACATCTCTGAAAAATCAGCCATCAACGTTATATGGCAATTTCACATAATAACATCGTCATGGATAGCCATAAAACATTTTCATGTATATGTAGTAGTGGTAGTAGTAGGTGGCCTTCTTGCTTGGCTACAGCCTCTCTTTTTGCTAACCCCTGCTCTCCACACATCTACGCTTCCTTACTTAGATTTCCTTTACGAATCTCCCTGACCTTCTGATGAAGGCCAGTATGTCCGTCCACATATGACCAACTCCTCCTGTTGGAGTTTGTCGACTCCAACAGATTTCAAATCTCAGCCTCCCGTACGCCTCGCACTTGCCGAGAAAATGGAGTGACGTTACTTCGTCTTCCCCACATCTTCGGCAAGTGGGGTTGTCGAGTTGTCGTCTATTTCCATAAGTGGTAGGTGTCTCTACCTTGCCTGTTCTGTTCTGTGAGTACTCCTATGAGGGGGCGGAGTACTTAGCGGTCTTTGCCAAGCAGCCAATCCCTCCTTGCATTGCTCGGACCGGCCACGAACTCTTTGGCCTGCCTGAAACCTGTGATATTCCTCCAGTATTCTCCTAGTGCCTTGTCTGCCCATTCGTCAAGGGCACTGTGACCCGGGACCCATACCAGTTCAACTTCCTTTGATTCGACTAATATCTCAAGGGCATTCATGAACTTGTCTTAATTTCCTCTATTCACCATTTGGCTATTTGAGTCTTCTCATGAATCACTGTTTATCCTAAAATTCTCGATGAAAATTCATCGAAATAATCTTTCCAATTATTAGAAACATTGTTTATTGCATTGAACATGTCCAGCGATTTCTGAAGTAATGAGTATGTTACCTTTCATCATAAGGCCATAAGATGACCTAATAATGAAAGGTAACCTCTGGTAAACGCACTGTTCAATTATTGTTTTCACTTCTACTGGATATGAAACAATTGGATTTATAACGATGACGTGGGGATATTCGACAACAAGTGGTGCGATCAATGGGCAATATTTCAGAACTTACGTGACGAAGTATCGCCTTCAAACTAATACGAAAAATAGCTCCTTGCGTTGTAAGCAACAAAGATCGTTTGTTTGAAACTCATTATTCTTAGCTGTGCATTGCTACCTGCGATTTAGCTAGAACACTTGACTGAACTTAGGATGTATGTTTATCGGAGTAGTATTTGTAAAACAAAATGAACAATAGAACATCGTTCAAATATGTGAAATGGACACAAAAATTATCGATTTAGTGCGAACATTTGCTTCTTGCAGTTCATCTAAAAGGCAGTTTATTTAGAGATCATACCGACAATGATAAATATCATTCTTCAGGTTGTTGGTTATGCAGTGACCACATGGCAAAAAGAAACAGATCTTCCAGTTATAGGGTTCGATATGGGAGGGACATCAACAGATGTATCCAGGTTTTCTGGAAACTACGAACACGTATATGAGAGTACTACTGCAGGTGTAACTATTCAGGCGCCACAACTCGATGTCAACACTGTAGCAGCAGGAGGAGGATCAATGCTCTTTTTCAGGTTACTAGATCGAAATGTGGATATCTCAAGTGAGATAAGAGTATAGTCATATATGTTTTCAGATCTGGAATGTTTGTAGTAGGACCAGAATCAGCTGGGGCACACCCTGGTCCAGTTTGTTATAAAAAGGGTGGACCATTAACAGTTACAGATGGTAATCTTGTATTAGGAAGGCTGTTGCCTGAATACTTCCCGAAAATTTTCGGTCCAAACGAAGATTCACCTCTAGACAAAGAACAAACTGTTAAAGAATTTGAAAAACTCACTATGGAGATCAATGATTTTCTGATGTCTCAAAACAACCAACAGGTAAGATTCTAGATTCTAGATTTTATTTCAGAATAGTTCTTCGGATCGAGCTGATAGTAATTTTGATAATCATATACACTCACATGCAAAAAAAACGCAACAAGAAAATATTTGGTAAAATTTGAAGTCTCATAGTTTTTTTATTTTTACTTCAATTTACAACATTTTTTCAGCAAACTGTGGATAAAATCATTAATTTCAACTGGCACATTCAGTATTTTGTTAAATGCTGGCTCATTAGTCATTATACAGGGTTAACTAGAAGTATGTTGATATACCCTAATTTTAAAACATCCTGTGGAATAATTTCGTGGTCAAATTCTTGCAAAATACCAGTTTTTGTTAAGAACCGATCCTCTTCAACATTTTGTTTTTTGCTTCAAGTCTTTAGGTGCACTAGTTGATTTTTAAGAAGGAAATGAACTTATCATCAACGTTCACTTTGAAAAATGTAATTTTTTGAAGAGGTGGCTTTGCTCGTTGTTGTCCTAATGTCAGTTTGACAGTGAGACACCTTAAGGAACTCGAACCATGGTTTTGAGTGCGGAAAATTGCGCAAAAGCTGTCGCTCTTGCAATGATACTTCATGTTCATCGCTCAACCATCAAAAGAGTAATCGAACGTTTCAGACAAACTGGCAAAAATAAGCGTAGGGCAGGTGGCAGAAAACGAAAAATGACTGCTATTGATGACAGATTACTTCATGTAAATACTCTGCGGGATCGTCATTTAGCATCAGTGCAGTCTAGAAATCAACTTCAAGAGGTACGAGGTACAAATGTTAGTGTGTGGACAGTTCGCCGAAGATTGAAGGAGTTTGGTTTGAAAGCTTGCAGACCAGCAACGGGACCCAAATTACTTCCGCGTCACCGAGTAGCTAGACTGGAATTTGCTACTGAACATTTACATTGGAACTTGGGGCAATGGAACAATGTTCTTTTCACTGACGAATCCAGATTCTGCTTACATTCTCCAGATGGACGGAAAAGAGTATGAAGAAGGAACGGAGAAAGATTTGCAGAATGCACGTTCAGTCCCCATCTGAGTTATGGAGGAGGTTCAGTAATGGTTTGGGCAGGAATGTCCAGGGAGGCCTGCACTGAGTTGGTGGTCATCGATGGATCTTTAACGGCTCACCGATATATTGAAGAGATATTAAGCAATTACGTTGTAGCTTTCAGTGGATTTATCGGCCATGACTTTATCCTGATGCAGGATAATGCGCGGCCACATACAGCAATTTGTGTCACACAATACCTCGCGGAAGTAGGTATTAACAAACTGAACTGGCCAGCATGTTCGCCTGATCTCAACCCCATAGAGCATGTGTGGGACATGCTTGGTAGGCGAGTCAGAGATCGTGAAGTAGCTCCGGCTACCATAAATGAACGGGGGGAATGGCAACATATTCCACAAGATGCTATTCGAAACCTAATTGACAGTATGAACCAACGTGTGCAGGCAGTTGTGAGAGCCAGAGGTGGTAATACAAAATATTAAGCTGATTTTGTTGTAAAAAGTACGTTTCCTCATCAGGTTATTTAAGTTACAGTTGAACTGGTTTGTTTTGAAGTTTGATTTTTAATTTGAATTGAATGAGTTTGCATAAATAAATTTTGTATTAATTGTTTATTATTATAACTAAACAATATATTGCTGCCATTTCATTGTAACACTCATGAACTGAGCTGTCATACTGACATTATGGCACAATGAGCAATTCCATGTCGTCAAAAAATAACATTTCTTAAAATTAGGTAAACTCTGTTGTTTGGAGTTCATTTCCCTCTTAAAAATCAACTAAAGCAACTAAAGACCTGAACCAAAAAGCAAAATGTTGAGAAGGATCGGTTCTTAACAAAAATTGGTATTTTGAAAGAATTTGACCACGAAATTATTCCACAGGATGTTTTAAAATTAGGGTATATCAACATACTTCTAGTTAACCCTGTATAATGACTAATCAGCCATCATTTAACAAAATAGTTAATGTGCCAGTTGAAATTGATGATTGCATCTACAGTTTGCTGATTTTTTTTTTGAAATTGAAGTAAAAATAAAAAAACTATGAGACTTCAAATTTTACCAAATATTTACTTGTTGCGTTTTTTTTGCATGTGAGTGTATATTAAGAAATGTATGGAGTTGAAGGAGATAGATTTGGGAAATTGAGGAATCTTTTAGACGGCATTGAATAATCAACTTGTTTTTTCAGAAATCCATGTCCATCGAAGAAGTTGCTTTGGGATTCGTTAAAGTCGCTAATGAAGCTATGTGTCGACCAATCAGAGCCTTGACTCAGGCTAAAGGATATGACACTGCTCGTCATGCATTAGCATGCTTCGGTGGTGCAGGAGGTCAACACGCTTGTGCTATTGCCAGATCGCTAGGAATGACCACTGTTTTCGTCCATAAATATGCAGGTATCCTAACGATCTTCAACGATGCTTGAATACCACGTAATCGTTTTCGATATGGTAATATGTATTCTTGTATTGTATCGTGTACCCTGTATTTGCCTTTGGCGGATCTTTTTCCAAAATATATCCGAGTGCGAATATAGCACGTTGAGAACAATTGTGTGACTACTCAAAAAAGCTGATTTTTCAGTTAGAACCACCGTCGGATAGAAAATTTCGAGCTCTACACTTCGAGAATATCGTGACATCTCTAGGTCCAATAGCTGCTGCGTGACATCGCTGGAAATGTTATTGCACTATTGTACTACAGCCGAGCAAGAAAGTGACTCTTTGTGTTGTCATCTGAACTTCCCAGGATACGCCTTGTATTCTGACTTTGATGACATTTTTATGATAAATAATGTGAAAAGTCGAATGACTTGATAGTCACCTTGTTGATTAAACACAATTTGAAATTTTTTGAGTTGTCACGTTATTACATTTTCATCATTAAATAGAATATTGAATTAGATCCAACAAATTTTTAGGTTGTAATGTTAACAATATGGAATATTTCGATTTGTCACATTATTGCATGCGTTGCACTTGATGAAATGGAGTAGGTAATACAAGCTTTTGCAGAAATATTGAAATGATAACAAGAAGATAGTCCTTAAAAATAAAAAGAAGAAATACAAAACTATAATGAAATTTTCGAATGTATGCAATTTAATTATTTCTCGTTGCATAAAATATCAATCTCCACCTCATGTTCAAATTCCAATTTTGAAATTTTTATTATAATTTTTTCGGATTGAACATATGGAAAAATGTGTGTTTGAAAGAATTTCCAAGAAAAGATTTAAATTAAAATTTCAGTCATTATTGGTATTTCCTTCTTTCAGAAAATACTTCTCTTCCCAAACTAAGGGCATTTCAAATTTATGCGAATCTTCAATGAAACTTGCTATTCAACTATAAATTTGTCTATTGCAAATACCCATTTGTTTCTATCCAAAAACTGAAGGAAATAGAAAAACTGTCAAAAGAGGAATGTTCAGCAACGGAAGGGCACGATTCTTGAATATAATGGTGCCTACAAATGAAGAAAAATACCTATAATACATGTTATACGGAAATATTTTTGATATGTAACTCCTCAGAAAATTTCTGCTTTTCAGGCGTGACATCTCTAAATATTGTCGAATATAATGAAACAAAACATGTCGAAACTTCTTCTTGAAAAATTGGAAAAAAATATTCGAAGCTTATGACATATATATGAACTAAATATACTTTACGCGGTGAATGAGGTTCACCAGAGACAAATTCACCATCATTAAGAAGTGAAAATTTTCAAAGTCGATTTTCTCAAAAAGGAGAATTTTGAATTATCACACTATTGTTCTCAACGTGCGATATGCCAATGTATTTAAATCGGTTTGATCTTCGCAGGTATACTTTCTGCATATGGAATGGCTCTTGCTGACGTGGTCCACGAGTCTCAAGAACCTTGTGCCAAAACTTTTAGTGTGGAGAACTTTTCGTACTTTGATGAGCGTCTGACGGAACTTGAAGAACAGTGCAAGAATAAGCTGAAAGAGCAAGGTTTCGACGATAAACATATCGTGCTGGAGCCTTATCTGCACATGAGGTATGATGGCACAGATTGCGATCTAATGTGTGGGCCGACAGGACATAGTGAAGAAGGCCCCCAACATGGAGATTTCCTTAAATCATTTGTGGAGCGTTATCAATCTGAATTTGGATTCGTTATCCAGCATAGAAGTGTCATAATAGACGATATCAGGGTGAGTAAGACTGATGGCAGAGAAAAACACCCATGGTTTGATTATTCAGTATTCAGCACCAGCCACCTATATACTTCTGTTGATGATCTTATGAATTTCAGTCTTCTAACAAAGTTTCACTGATGATTAAAGTTTCCAAAACATATTTCTGCAGGTCAGAGGAATCGGAAAGAGCGACATAGATGAAGAACCTCTGATAGAAACCTCTACTACTGATCCTACGCCAGTTTCAACTAAACAGGTCTTTTTCGAGGAAGGATACTTGGATACCAATATCTACCTACTGAAAGACTTGAAAGCTTCTCAAGTTCTCAGAGGTCCGGCTATTGTGATGGACCAACTCAGCACAATTTTAGTGGAACCAGATTGTATCGCTTCCATAACCAAGTATGGCGATATAAAGATCACCATCGGGTCTGGAAAAGTGAAAGAGATCGGACCAGAGCTGGATTCCATTCAACTCAGTATTTTCAGTCATAGGTTTATGAGCATTGCTGAACAAATGGGGAGGTAAGATTTAGTCTCCCAGTGTTTGAGGCGACTTCGTAACGTCAGTGATTGTTTTTGGGGCAGTTCAATCCATTTTATTGATTCGTATTTTTTTCAGAATTCTTCAACGAACCTCTATCTCCACAAACATCAAAGAACGCCTAGATTTCTCTTGTGCTCTCTTTGGTGCCGATGGAGGTCTAGTATCCAATGCACCCCATATTCCAGTTCACTTGGGTGCCATGCAAGAAGCAGTTCAGTACCAAATGAAGACGAGGAAGGTCTTCAACGAAGGTGACGTCATACTTTCCAACCACCCTGGCGCCGGAGGGTCGCATTTGCCAGATTTCACGGTCATCACACCTGTCTTTTACAAGTGAGTTCTTCATCAATAAATATTGAAATTCATTTATATTATATCAAAATGATTATAGTTTATCCAAAAACAATTGCAGAATCTTGTGCCGCACCTGCAGTCACTTCAGAGGAAACTACAAAAGCGGAGGGAGACAAAAACCTGGAGCTGAAAACTAATATTTTTTCCGTGCATAATACACTATTTTCTTCTGTGACAGAAGGAAGGACGAATCAATATTGAGAAGATATTACATTATTTTGAAATCTGAAAATTATCGACGTGAAATTTTAAGTTTTTAACAGTAAGGACACCTGCGTTGTAGGCATCTTTATCATTCTTTTGAAGTAATCAATTATCTGATGTCACTTCTGTCAGTCTAATTCTGTGATTTGATTTCAGAAAATTGCGAATTTAGTGGTTGTTTAGTAATATACGTAACCGCGAAGTCGAATGGAAAATAAAAGGACTTGCAGTTCTTTCTCGGAGACGGTATTATTGACTCATTTTTCGGAACTATAGCACAACGAAAGCCATCAACAGGGTATATATATATATGTGATATATATCCAGGAAAAAAGTACTCACTTCTTTTCCACGGGAAAAAAGTAATTTATGAAAAGTGACATTTTATAACCTGCCAACAGAGATAAAATGCCAAACTTTTTTCCCGTCACAGAAAAAAAAAACAGTTTTTCTACAACCCAATTATATATTATATACCAATAGAGTAGGCCCTCATTCAACACCTCCAGAAGCGAGAGTACAGGGCACAGAGTGTACTGCTCACTATAGGCTGAAAAAAAACAGGGAGTTTTTTTGCTATGAATTTACCACAACGTTAGCAACAGCTTCCCCAATAGTTCCATCTCACATTTTTGCACTATTTATTGAAAAACCTAGGAAAACAGTTTGAAAAATGTCTAGAAAATGCGAGCACACTGTTTCAATGTTCACAAAAAGCAATATAGCAACTCTTATTTATCGGTCATCATGATAATCAAACTTCATCTTGGGTCCAGATTTTTATTTTCGCAAATAAGAGATGTCATATGGACAAAAATTATTGATTTTATCATGAGATTCTTTCGATTGAAATCGTTGGGTCGTGCAAAAAATAGTATATACACCTCGGAAATGACTTATCTTTTACCTCAGTGCATTGTAGCGCCCTCCGGCTAAAAAAACAAACAAAATGAATTGAATTGACATCATATTCTGTTCATAGCCAAAATTACAATACGAAATTGCACGTGATAATCTTGTTTGAACGAAAATAGCATACTTCTGGTCTTGAGAAAATTCATCAATTACTTCGTTGATGAAATTAAATTTTCACTATAATGAGCCAATTTGAATAGGTATTGAATAATGCAAATGTATCTTGTTGAGGAAGTATTTTGTGTTTCATCTATGATATGAGCAAGGACTAGGCGCTAGGGGGAAGAGTCCCCCTGCCCTTCTTGCGCCCCTAGCATCCCCTCCTTGCGGACACTCCTGGTCAATGCATTGAAGCTCCAATAATAATCAAGTTAGCAATATTGCCGACTTCAGCAGTACCCTGATGAATATTAAATTCATTGAAACCAGTGGCGTAACTAGAATTTTTTGGCCCCAACGCAAAATACATAACAAATAGTAAAAAGAGTGAAACAACGAACTGAACAGGCACTATTTTTTTTATTTCATCCAGTAACAACATATTTTTTTCATGAATAAAAAAAACTTCAAAATAACTTCAGATTTTCTGAGTAAAATGAAACTCAACGTGTTTGTTCATTGAATAAAAACAAAACTTCAAATACGTTCAACTTCACATTCAAACTAAAATTATTGAACGATAAATGGTTTTTTTGTGGAAAGTCACACCCCAAATAATTATATTTCATTAACAATATAAATCGGCAACATTTTTTACACATTAGACATTTCTGGATTTAACTCTGATTTCAACAATGTAACCATGTTAATAAATTGTGAAGACATATCGACGGTCATCCCACGTATGACGTATCTCAGTTTTCTTAATTTCACAGCAGAGCAGTTCAAAGATTTTCAACATCTTAATACGCTTATATCTCAGAGGTTAGTTCGTGAAAGATCATTCTTTTTTCATTCATTAGTGAAAGAACTAGAACTAGTTGTTATATGATATGGTGAGATTTCCAAAAACCATCGCTCGAAGCGAAAAAAAAAAAGTTTGTTAGATACGTCACTACGTGAGATCATGTTTGTTATTGTGGTCTTAGATACGCCCATGAATATGAAGTTAAATCAAATGAATAACAGATCAAAACATTCATTTTTATTGATAAAAACACAAAAATTCATTCGACTTGTACAATACCTTACAATACTCCTTTCAGTACCTTGAGACGTCACCCGAGATATTTTAAATTCCTCCGAAAACCCGATGTGAGATACGTCAGTGTTGAAATTTTTAACAAATAATAAAAATATATCTCTCGTAATGACTCCTAATATAGTTAGGCCACTTCGTGAGATTTGGTAGTTCAATAATTTGAGATGGGCTGAGTATTCGATATTTAAACAGACGAAAACCATTGAATATTGAGTTACGCCACTTTGTGCGATCATAGAGTACAAGAATATGAGTCACTTGACGGAGTATCTCAAATTCCGATTTTTATGAGATACGTCATTACGTGAGATGACCCACGATATTTGGCGATATGATTTGAGAATATTTTTTTTATGTAGTCACACCTCTCAAGGATTTCAGACTGTTGAATTTATGAAATTTTTAGGTTGTAAAAATAAAAAGATATCGCTCACTTTATTGAACCCTGTAAATCTATTTGTTAACTGACCGCTGATCGTCACCGTCATGAGTCGCGCCCAGAACTAATGCAGAACATAGTAAAAATAATGTTTGCTTGACAGAAGTGTCCCTAGATTCAGAAACCTACAATGTTAGGAACTGTTTCAAATATTCGCATATATTCAGGTTTTTTTTTTTCTTCAATAAAGTCCGACGAGTGGGCCCCCCAAGCTTGGGGGGCCCAACGCATTGCGCTCACTTGTCTTATGGTAGTTACGCCACTGATTGAAACTTAAGTTAGTTTTCTTATGAAATTATGATGCAGTTTTTATCTTCTAGAAACATCCATCAACCGATTTTCTTCGTCGCCAGTCGAGGCCATCATGCTGACATTGGAGGTATCACTCCTGGTTCTATGCCTCCTCATTCTACAAGCCTGGATGAGGAGGGAGCTGCTTTCAAATCGTTTCTTTTGGTACACCGAGGCGAATTCCAAGAAGCTGAGTTCTCAGAAGCCATCAGGAAAGCCGGAGGAAGGAACCTGTCAGACAACATATCAGATTTGCGAGCTCAAGTGGCTGCTAATAAGAAAGGGATTGATCTAGTCAGCGAGCTGATTGACCAATATGGTTTGCATGTGGTGCAGGTGAGATATACAGGGTGTATCTAAATAACACCGAGAAAATTCAAGGGACGATTCCTTGTAATATTTTAGGAAACAAAGTTGATATGAACATGTGTCCTAACTTGCTTCGTTCTCGAGATATTGATATTTTCGCCAAAAACTATTATTTTATTCATAACTGAATTGTCTTTTTATCAATTCCAATAAAACGTTGTGGTTTTGTTGATAGTAATATGGAGCTTCTTCTGGTGCAATTAGATTAGAAATAATATTTCCAGTGGCGTCACAGTGGGTGAATTTATCGATATTTATGGTGAATGTCATTTTACGCCACCAGTTTTTCTGAGTTTCATATTTTTATCAGATTGATCTATTGAAATAACAACGTTTTCATCATTTGTGTGATTTAAGTATCTAGCTTAGCTATTGAGCAAATAATACACATTCGATTTGACTCCGAATTTTAATGTACCTAGGTGTTTTCAAGACTTCCATTGAGATATTACTCAATAACACCAATCTCAATCATTTTAAAATTGCAGGGCTTTCTCAGTCTCCAACCATACTGAATTTTGGCACTATGAAAGCTTATACAAGGGGGTTATGAAAAAAAATAATTGATTCTTCCAACTTCAACATCCTGTATCTCAAAAACGGAGCAAGTTAGGACTCATGTTTATTTGAACTTTATTTGCTAGAATATCACCAGGAATCACCCCTTGAATTTTTTCGATGTTATTCAGATACACCCTACCCTGTATAGGATGCCCCAAAAATATCATGAAATACTCCAATAGAGGCTTTCAGGAATAACAATGAAAGGAAACTTCAAATAAACATAGGTCGGCAAATCCCTAAAGGGAACTACACTGTCTTGATGGAGCGCCTCTGAATATGATTTTTCATTATCACTTTCGAAACAGTTTGAGAATACACCATGATGGAAGGAATTTGTTTGTTTTTTGCATTATTGTATTATACTAATAAGATAATTTTTGCATGCCCTAACTATTTTGAGTGAATTTCGTTTTCCTAATCTGGCCATAGAATATTAAGAAACTTCATTTTTCAACTTGAAATAAAATAAGCCTCATGGTTACATGAGATCGACGTGTATTTGGAATTTGAACCTATTTTTGGGTTCCCCAAGGATAAAAAAAATATGTTAGATATGTTGCTATAATTCGATTAAAGTTGGATTCGATATTTGAGCTGTCATAAAAGTAAATACATTAGAAGACAAGCGAGACAAGCTGATAGAGTATTGAATATAATATTTTTATATTACTCCGGGTTGAATTTATTCATTGTTGAAAAATATTTGAAATTTGTGATTTAAGTGCAAGCATGTGGAAGAAAAGAAATACCTGTTGTCAACCCTATAATAGTTTTTGGGGTGATTACATTTTATGAATCAACTACACATTCGTTCCATCATGGCAGTACACTGATTTACCACTAACCAAACTATTTTTTCATCCGCCTCGATAAGTGTTTCGCTAACTATGTTATATCATCTTCACGAGAAGATTAAAACTGATTGATACTGTTTCAATCTGCTTCTGAAGATGCTAACATAGTTAGTGACACACGACGTGTCGAGGCGTATAAAAAATCGGCTATAATAGATAACAACAGCGGCATTTTCGATTTCCACGTCTTGTACCCATCTGATTTCCTGTCAAGTAAGTGGACATTGCTTCATATTTGACATAACATGAGCGATGAGATTTTTTTGAAATAATAACACAATGGAGTCATTGTGATATCAGATACGGAAATAATATTGATGACATACAAAGTACCTCATTGACGTATCGAACACAGTAAAAAAAGAGCAATTTTGTGTTATTGCCGTTGAAAAACAGTGTATAGTGTGATTATCGTGCCAAAGGTTACAGTCTTCGAAACACCAATTTATTATAAGAAATATCATCAAGGTAGGACCATCCTATATAAAGGGTGGTACTTGAGTAGTTCTTGATGAAAGCCTAGTAAATTTTGGACTTGAAGTGTAACGATTTGAACCAATTCGCATTTATCGAGATATGTTTTCGAACATTATAATCGTAAATACCTGTTTTCAATGTGTTTATAGGCCTACATGAGCCATATCCAGACAAATGCTGAGTTGTCTGTGAGAGATATGCTGAGAGAGGTAGCCAGGGATACAAAGCAAAGGACGAAGGAGACAGTATTGTATGCTGAGGAGTTCATGGATGATGGATCTCCTATCAGACTGAAGGTGTTGCTAGATGAAAAAGAAGGATCAGCCTACTGCGATTTTAGGTAATTAGTTCAAACGTTTGTGTCATGTTAGAAAACATTGTCGATCTAAATGAAAACCTAGTAGGCAGGAGGTACCTACAAGCTCTCACCTACTAACTATACCCTAGGTTGTCTTTTATAGAAGGAATGATGAAACTAACAAGAGCCCTATACAGGGTGTTAGAGTGAATAAATGCGACAAACTTCAGTGAGTTATTCCTTGTGATATTTTAGGAAACAAAGTTCATATGAACATGTGTCCTAACTTGCTTCGTTGTTGATATACAGGATGTTGAAGTTGGAAGTATTAATTGTTTTTATTCATAACGCCCCTGTATAAGCTTTCATGGTGCCAAAATTCAGTATGGTTGGAGACTGAAAAAGTCCCAGAATTTCAAAATGATTCTTATTGAGGTTATTGAGTAATCTCAATGAATGTTTCGAGAGCACCTATACATTATAATTTGGAGTCAAATCGAATTTTTATTGTTTCTTCGAATACTGAGCGAGATACAAAATAAAGACGAAGGATGAGAAAGTGGATATTTCAATTGTTCAATCTAACAAGAATATGGAAGTCAGGAAAACCAGTGGCGTACAATGATATCAACCGTAAATATCGATAAATCAACCCACTGTGACGCCACTACGAATATTTTTGCTAATTGAATCACATCAAAAGAAGCTCATCCATGTTACAATCAATAAAACCACCAAGTTTCATTGAAACTGGTAAAAAGACATTCAAGTAATGACTAAAAAAACGATTTTTCATGGAAATATCAATACCCTGTATCTCGAAAATGAAGCATGTTTGTATCAACTTCATATTCTGAACTATCACAATTACCCCCTGAAGTTTGTCGCACTTATTCACTAACACCCTGTATATGCCGTATATTCTTTTGGTTTGATGTTTTTGATGTATCAGTGGTTTATTTATTGGATTGTTAAGAATCAGAGAGACACTGTTGGTTGACATGTTTTTTGATTCATCTGGTTTAGTTCGTTTTCATATTCAGTATATCACATAAGGAAACAGTTCGATCTACTCCATCATATTCATTCACCTCATCATCAATCGAATTGAACTATGTTTCAGAATAATATTTATATGTATTGTGTAATCTTGATCTTGTGTGATAGATCTTGAAGAAATCAATCAATTAATGAGTCAATGAAATAGTTGAAACTTCATTCAATTTTCCATATTTGATAACGGGACGAATATGAGGTCTAATTATGGTCGTCAAGTAAAATGTAAAAATGTTTGTGCATGTTGATTTCTAATAATTTCAGATAGGTAAAACTTCAGTTTCCTTAAATTCAACATGGTTTGAAATTCCTAAGTTAAATCATCAGAACTCTGAATTTCTTTTAAAATCTATATGAAAGTACTAACTATAACAGAGTGAGCAGGACACGATTGTCCTGCTGTTAAACATCATTTTTCTGTACCCTTCCATTGAACGAGTGCAGACATCCTAACAGTGGGGTAACACCAAATGCACATAATGCTTATTTTGTAGTTACTTTAATATTTGGTCAATAAATGTATTTTCATGAAATGGATATTGGAATTTTGAGCTTCAACAAACACTTGTGAATTTTTCCGTTACAGAAAAAGGCAGATTCGAAAACAATTTCGCGATAACGCCTATTCAATTTTCAGAACAAACGTTTTGAATCTGAGAATGATCACAATTCGGAAATGTCACTGGTGATTGGGAAACTAGGACATCCCGGCCTAGTCCGGGAAGCGTATTGGCATTGTCTCCTATGGCACGACGCAACCTGAGAAAAATGTATGCCGAATCGCGGAAGACAATGTCCCACGATTTGGCAATGATACGCGCGACATTCTCTCCTGCTTTAGGACGCTATGTGCTGAATATTGAAGCGTCTGGATCTTGGTAAAACTGCATTTAGCATGCGATGGGCTTCTTTTCGAAAATTTTTATTGGTACTTACGTATTTTTGTCTGAAAAACACGAATTTGATAATGAAAATGTGAACAAACCATTATTTATCAAGATATTTCACTATAAAGTTACAAATTTCACCTTCTTTTTTGCCTGTCTTCTGGATTGAATTTAAAACAATTTACCCTTCTTTTTTCATCATTGGACAATTTATATCACAATGTAAGACACATTTTTTTAAATAATTGAGACAACTAGAAATATGATTTTCTTGTGATTCATTCATATTTATTGAAAAGAAGGAAGAATATCATTTGAAATAATGGCGTGTAATGTCATTCCAAATTCCAAAGCAATCTATTGACATTTGACATCTCGTATTTGGATTGCCTAATGCCTATGGATAAAATGGCCGTCATCTGGTATGCTTGCTCATTAAATAGGAAAAACGCACCATAAAAATCAAATTTCCTGTTGAATTTTCTGTATAAAAATGTGTCATTGAAGTAAATCATGAGTATATAAAGTGTCCAATGACAAAATAAGAAGAGCAAGTACCTGAAAATGCATCCAACGCAAGGGGAAAAAGGAGTCGAAATTTCGAACTTTTTTTTGAAATATCTCGATAAATAGTGGTTTGTTCACATTTTCATTATCAAATTCGTGTTTTTCAGACAAAAATACGTGAGTACCAAAAAAAAATTTTCGAAAAAAAACCCATCGCATGCTAAATGCAGTTTTACCTTGTATTCAGACGCTTCAATATTCAGCACGTAGCGTCCTAAAGCAGGAGAGAATGTCGCGCATATCATTGCCAAATCGTGGGACATTATCTTCCGCGATTCGGCATACATTTTTCTCAGGTTGCGTTGTACCATAGGAGACAATGCCAATACGCGTCCGGGAAGTACGTACCTCACGGACTAAGCCGGAAAATGCTACTTTCTCAAAGAAAAAAGTTATTTCGCGGCCTATATAGACATACAAATAACTATTTTGGTTCCTCAATGATATCTAGAAATTTGTTAGTTTGTATCAGGTGGTTTCCACACAATGTTCCTGACATAAGCATAGGTTGTAAATTTCAGTGAAAATGCAGTTCGGTTCAATACCTATACTTACGTTCGACTGCTGTCGGCACTCTATAAATTCAGTCGCTTAATGTCCTCTGACAAACAGCCGGGCTTTCGGTCTTTCATTAACCCCATATCATTTCCTCTTGCAGCGGTACCGGTCCAGAGGTGTGGGGCAACTGCAATGCGCCCAAAGCGATAACTCTATCCGCCCTGATTTACTGCCTCAGATGTATGGTCGGCCACGACGTGCCTCTGAACCAGGTAAGAAACATTATACATATAAGACGTGTGGTATAACTTTATTTTCATTGAGATTTATTCTCATAGGCCGCGCGGTTTGAAGACTGCGGTGCAATTTTATAGTCTTCCTAGCTGACCCGGCAGCATTTAAACATTCCGGTATAGGATTCGGCACCTGCTTAAATTCTATTGGCGGATTTTGATTTGTCTGACCAATTAAAGGCGAAGTGCCGAAATCCGTACCAGAATGTTGAGCGGTGCTGAAAAGCAGGTCGGAATGTTGCCCTGCATTTTGTGCGGTTTTTGTTTACATTTACCCTCGCATTTACCTAACCTGCGTATTTTTTGATTATACCGTCGTTCCCACATGCCCACATGCTAACAACAAACCTGCAATCTTGTTATTATAGTCAAGTGCAAAGTGCAATCATCAATTAGTGAAGTATACCATATATCACTAATTATGAAAAGATTAATAAAAGTTTCAGAAAATTTGTATTGGGGCAATATGAAGAATGAAACAGAAGTTGTGCAATGGATGAATGATTATGAAGCTCACTCGTTTACATCATGGCGTTTCAAATCAGGCCCTACAAATATTAAAAGATTCTTGTACAGGTAACAATTTTATATATTTTAAATATTTTTTTATTTGCTCATGAAATGTATTCGAAGAAGACGAAGACGCAGTTTGGCAGGTAACGTGGCGAGAAATCAACCAAAACGCTAAGTCCCATGGAATAGGACATTGACAGATATTAAGTGTTCTGATGATTGTTATTTCGAATTCATTATCTCATTTGATTACATATAATCATTCATTTTAAACTTTTATACCAAATAAATCATGAATATAAATGAAAATTTCTAAAGTTATTGAAAAATGCGTTCATTACACATTATCTCGAGCTTTCATTTCATCAACATTCCGACCTGTGTTTCAGCACCGCTCAACATTCTGGTACGAATTTCGGCACTCTGTCTTCAATTGGTCAGATAAATCAAAATCGGCCAATAGAATTTAAGCAGGTGCCGAATCCTATACCGGAATGTTTAAATGCGACCCGGCAAACGTTGTTTTGCTATAACACAATTTTTTTCGGCATCCATGTGTCCATATGTAGAATAATTCAATGAGATACATTTTCGTAGTATATTTCTTTGTGGAATACAATTTTTTCTGTATTAATTCTTATTTGTATCAAATACTGCAATTTGAACAGAATATACCGGGTGACACAGGAGACATGTAGCAGCTTGTAGTTTTTTCATTTGAAGAGATACAATTTTGAAGTTCACAGGGGGTATATAATAAATGGTAGCGCACTTTACGAACTTAACGAAAATTTTTTTCAACCACCTGTTTGACCGGAAGTGACCCCAACTTTTTTTTTTAAATGTCACCCTGTACATTTTTTCAGTATATCTTTTTCGCCTTGAAATTCTCTATCCAACCATGTATCACAAAGTGGCATTTATTTCTTAATTCGCTGTTGAATTGCTTTTTATTCAAATTGGCTGTGATATGAATTCGATGATATATCGACACTTGGTAGGCTTTGAAATTTAAATATCATTAGTGAACCGATATTATTCAAAATGTTTTGATATTCTGATCAATGTCCGCAGGTTGTCAATAGCGTGTTGAAGTCAAGATGAAAACCTTCGAAAATGATATTGAGGAATCTAAGATAGGAACATACTTTTTCGAATTCAGTTATTCGTACAGAAACTATCTGTCTTTTATTTTCGCCATGTACCTATCACATGATCTTCCCATTTGGAATAATAAAACTAAAATTGTTCCTCTTATACGATGATCCACAGGGCTATCAGTCTATTTATTCATAATTATTTCACTTAGTAGGCGGTGTACCAACACAAAATGTATTATGTGTTTAACAGTTAATCGATTGCATCAATAATTTTTCTTCTTCATTTGTGTGTTGATTAAAATTGCATATTATCAATATAGACGGAAAATGTATTCAAGAAACGAAAAAGTCGATATGTTGTTGTCGATGTAAATTAAATAAACATGTGCTCATGGTTCTATTAGCCTGAATGCGAGCCTGAATGATATCAATTCATAATTGTTTCGGTAAGGAAAATCTTTTAGAATTCATCTTGGAATACCTTCACGAATGAAAAAGATTCCGACCTCTATGAATTAAAACCGGCCCTGGAATATATGGATTAACAAAGTTTTCGAAACCGTGAATCGAGGGCCAAACATTTCCATAAAACTGGGCTCTCTTCGTTAGTATAATGCTTTCTCATCGAGCAAAACAAAAGAAAAGAGCAATATGAAATCTGAATCTGAACCTGAAAGAATTATTTGCCTTAAAAGTTTGTTCATGATGATGAAAACTTTTCACAACGTTTGTATTACCATAACTTCACTTTAATAATTTTTTATCAAGCTCTTTGGATACGGGGTGTTGGCAATACTGGAGCAATAGATGAAAAGGGTATGTAGGAAAAAAATTATTGAATTTTCAATTTTTCTTGGAGATGTGTATTATTGATCAGGGGTTTATGGAAAGAGAACTCATGAGTGTTTGATCAGCGAAGGTTATAGAATTAGAATCTCCGTGTTGTGAATTTTACAAGGTTTCCGGACGTTAAAAATCAGTGTTAAAAGATGTGGTATGAGGTCTGAGCAGCGTACATAGGTACACATTTTTCAAACACTATTCGAAAAAAATTCTGAATTTGTGGTGCATTTATATATCATACAACACTTCATTTTATCTGTTGTTCCAATTTTGGAAACGCTCTGTAGCTCTGGAATGTATCATGATTATATAAACCAAAAATGCGATATCTGAAAAAACAAAACACTTGTGAATAATTGCATAGGTAGTGGGCGAAGTATCATTCAAGAAAGTAGTATATGGTATAGTATGTCTTTCTTTATATCTACCAATATACCAGTACTGAAGCCTTTGAAAACTGTAAAAAGTGGAAAAAAAAAACAGAATGATCTGAAAAGAGAAAGGATATAACAAATATAAAGGGAAAATAAATTACGGGTGATCTGAGATCGGGAAGTCATAGGGGTGAGTTTTTTAGTGTGAAAAACGGTTTATATCTATTTCCGGCAAAACTACAAGCCCTATGGAAAAAAGTTGTAGGTAATAAAAATATGTCTAACTTCTATTTTCACAATTTTTCCTTATAACCTCAAAATTTATGTGTAAAATTCAAATAACCAAGTTTTCAGTTTGTTATTTTTATCATTTACAGAAAAAATTCCACTAAATTTTGTGAAAACTCACCTTTTCATGTCCCAAATACACTGTGATTTGTTTTGATTTGAAATGTTAATATTTTCACCTTATTTTGATTCAATGTGGAATAAAGCACATTATATAATTATCAATCAAAAATTCTCGCGTCAAAATATGCGCTTTTCCAAAAAAGTTGATGGGCTTTTTGTTCGTTGAAATGTCTACTTTCTGATGGTGTGAAAGAATATATACATTATGTGGTAAATGTTCTCAGAAAATACAAAGAAACGAAAAAGCAGCAGTCAGATTTTTAGATGAAATCCCCTTCATTATAAAGATCAACTAATTTCAGACACGAATTTTGTTTCTTTGCATTTTCTGAGAACATATTTTACCCTAGTAATGTATATTATATCTTCTACATCATCAGAAAATAGATTCCCATGAACAAGAAGTCCACCGATTTTTTGAAAAAGAAGATATTTTGACGCGAGAATTTCCGATTCAAAATTAGGGCGTTTTTTGGATATTAAGTTAAAATGAGGTGAAAAAAAAGGATATTTGTATAGTATTTGGGACATGAAGTGGTAAGTTTTTCACAAAATTTCGTGGAAACAAAATTTGTTTTGTAAAAGAAGAATAAAAACCAAAACTTGGTTATTTAAATTTTTCACATGAATTTTGAGGTTATGTGAAAAAAAGTGTGTCGACATGAGTAATAGATCTCTTCATTACCTATAACTTTGCTCCTCAAATTTTTTTCATAGGACTTGTAGTTTTGATAGAAATCGAAATTGAGCGTTTTTCACCCTTGAAAACTCACCCCCTACCCAGTTCTCGACCTCAGATCGATCGTAATTTAGTATTTCTTGAATTTTTGTTACATTCTCTTCCTTTTTAAACGGGTTTCATTCTACAAAAATATTTGTTGGTTTCAAAAATTATCGACCCTGGTCTAAATATTGCAATATCATTACTGTGAATATTTTGAGATTTTCAGTTACCTATGTAATTTTATGATTTGTAGGGTTGCTTGGCCCCCGTTAAGATCAACATCCCCAAAGGATCTATTTTGGACCCCAGTGACAATGCGGCTGTCGTCGGTGGAAACGTTCTGACGTCACAACGAGTGGTAGACGTCGTTTTGAAGGCTTTCAGGGTGTGTGCCGCGTCTCAGGGTTGCATGAACAACATCACTTTCGGATGTGAGACATGGGGGTCCTACGAAACGGTAGCAGGCGGCAGTGGCGCGGTGAGTTGACTTTTATGATACTAAGTGATTTAATGTTTTTTTATACTATTTCACTAGACGAGGTGTTCCTTATCGAAATGCTAATATTCAAGGGGTCTATTCGTGGACCCACCCATTTCAAGAATGAAACTTCATATGAACGTATGTCGCAAAACATCTTAACTTTTGAGATACAGGGAATCAAAGTTGAAAATTACCATATATTCTTTTTTTGTCCACCCTGTATAGGTTTTTGTAATGGAAAAATTTAGTCTGATGTGTGACCCGAAGCGGTGCAGAAATTTCAGATTGTTACATACTGTGGTTATTCAGTAATGGATGTCCTGAATGGAGTGATCAGCTTAGCATTTACAACAAAATTTAAAGTGTGGTCTCGTTTTTCCGTTTTTTCTCGAAAACGGAGCGTCCTATCGAGTATTAACAAAATTGTACAGAATCAATTGGCTTTTCATAGCACTGTATGAAATTCGTGGTAGAAAAAATGAACATTTTTCTACATCACAAAATGCATCTTGATGCATAGAAGACATGACAAAATTTCATGAAGATGTCTACGATATTATCTCAGCATTATTCAAAAACTGATTTTTCTTCATGATTTTATCACCCTGTATATCGAAAGTTAAGACTTAAAATGAGTCAGACAATCACCACCTTAAATAGTTGCATGTATTTGAGGAACACCCTGTATAATAACTGAGATACAAAGGGGGGGCGTTTGAAGTTAGACATGCTGTATATTGAATGGAAAGATTATGAACCACCATGTGATTTTTGTTGATGAAAATTACACTCGTATACAGGGTCGTTATAGATTAGAATAATGAATGAGGTGGATGATATAAGATGACAAAAAGTTCAAAACGAATTGAAAGTATATTTTTTAACAGAAAACAATATTGAAGTCTTGTTTGCCTTTAAATTTTTCAAATCATTATCAGAGGTTAACAGCCGAACCGAAGCGTTCGCCTTCGACGAAATAGAGGGAGTATCAATGACTTTGAAAGTTAAAAATGGTTAATAGATGTGGTATGATGAGAAAGTCTTCTAGGAAACAACCAGTACATACCTACACGAAATTGAATCAAGAATTGCTCAGCTTAAATTACATTACACATATTCCATGGTAATCTCATTGAGGCAATTACGAACTTTTTCAAAAATACCTCAATTCATAAAACGCTCCCATTCAACAAAAATTAGTTTATACAAGAAGTTTTTGATCTGAAACCGAGAAACCCGATGATTTCGTATTTGCAAGCTTTCAAGCATTCGGATTCGAGGAATATTCATTCGATTTAAAATTTTGGCGAAAGCGTAATGCTTCTATGGAGTCCCGCGCTTTCGCCATAACTTCAAAATGAGCTCTTGTAGATTTTAAGGCAATAAGTACTCTTTCAAACAACAGTAAAATTGTCGGAAATTCACTAGTCACTAGTGTAACTACTATACCCTCTGATTGATTTTTCATCACGTCAAATCTGACATTTTGGTGACATCTTGCGAGTATGAACAACAATGACAACAAATATGGCGACCATTGTTTTGAGTTTCATAATTATGTGTTTTATTTGAAAATAATTTGTTGAAGTGTATATTCCAAAACCTCACTTTTCCCCGATGAAAAAACTCGAATTATTGTATGAACTTTTATTGTTTACAATGAAGAAACCAGTACCTACCTTCTGAAGCACAATTGAAATCATTGTATGAATGTTGGTTGCAATGATTCGATTAGATTCGATCTTGAGAATAACTTCAAGTTCTCAATTGCTGGAGATCCTTGTTTATGTAAATCGATGATATTGTTCATTCTGAGCAGCCTCTCCAACCATATCTTCTTTCCCAACCCATCCACTAGAATTCCATCTCCTTCATAACAGCTAGTGATATTTCTTGATGAATTCAATTATTTCTTCATACCTATACCATATTGTTGTAATAGCTGATTGCTTATATGGTTCCATTCCAGTCCATGCAAGTGTTGAGTGGAACATTCCGACCATTTCATATGTTTGAAAACTGTGGAATTGTTGTGTGATGTCAATGATGAATACCACCATTGTCCATATCAAAATGGCAATTTCTCTGCACAAAAAGTTATTTTTTCCATACTGGAAACCTTGTACGTATTTCACGAAGTCAACACATTATTTACTATTTTGCAAAATGATTTCGAAATAACCAATTTGCAATGAGTTCATACGGCAATGTTTTCGTTGTTCATACTTAGTTTGAAATTTGACGTTGATTTGACGTTTAATAGCGCCATCTATTGGTTCGTGATTTTCGCGAATAGTATTTCACAATTATTTCGGCATAGGAATCGTCTTTTTCGGCTATTCATTAATTCGCCGCATGCGAACATATTATGCTGTTGTACAATGCTCAAAAAATTCAGTGAGAGACGAAAGAATCCGGTTGGTACATTATGATTCAAAAATAAGTACCTACTATTGGCACTCACATATAGTTTTCATTTTGAAATTTGGAAATTTCTCTGATTTCTATTAGCAGTATCAGCTTCTTTTGCAGAAGTGACAACAGGGATTTTAATAAAAAATGACAAATTTTCATAATGAAAACTATGTGAGATTACTATTTACCTCAAAAATCATATTCCTTCGTCTCTCGCTGCATTTTTTGTGTATTGTACAAGAGCACAATGAGAAGGAATGCTAGAATCAATGAATAGCGCAAAAAACACGATTCTTATTGATTTCTCTGTAAACAAATAAAAAAAGTGATGTTGTGCTTCGATGTTTTACAGATCATCGTGCATACGACCAATAGCTGTACATTCTAGATAGGTTATCTATTCTATAACTGATCGTAACATCCGCATTGGCCGTTGAAAAAGCTTCAGATTAAGCACAATGCTGCTGGTGGGCCTTCTGAAAAGTAAATTGAAACTGCGAGAATTATGCTATGAAGATGAATATTTGCGAACACTTTCGAGAAAATAACTACGAAGAAACCATGAATTTCGGGAACTATCAACTTTTGGACATATCAGAATGGGACTAGGTCCTCGAATAGCCGTAGAAATCTGTGACAGCGTTTTTCACAGACCTTTTGAAGATATCACCCTTAAGATTCTACTGCACTTCACGCATTGTAAACTCATGAAACAGCAGTTTGCATAAACTATATGCTTTACCTATACTTTCCATAATGTTTTGTGTTTGATAAAAAGTATCATCTCTGTTACATATTCATATCGCACCGAATCTGAATAATATATGCATAACAACGAGTAGAAGAAACTTGAAGCCTTCAGCAGTTACTTTGGAGAGAGTTCTTCACTCACTAAACTCCACACTAAACACAATTTTTCGTGTTGCGTCCCCCGGGCGTGAAAATAATAATGTCGGCTGGAATGAGGCTCGTCGACAATGTTCACATTCGCAATTAGGATTTGTTTTCGAGACTCGCCTGGCGCCTTGGGATCGGTTTACTTTTACGATTTTTTTTCGGCTGAACAATGCAAGGAAGTATGGGTTGATATTATTCACTACCAAGGTGTTTCTGAATTTTCGTCACCACTAGCAATATTTCACAATCATTATACAATCATTTCACTCGATTATTTCGGATTTTCTTTACTCTTTTCGATAAAATAAAAATATTAGTATCATTTCAATATATGTGTAGTAGGACAAATCAAAGGATTCGCCCCAGATTGTCACTGCGTTTAACAAATTTTTCTATCAGGGAGCCTGAAAGAAAAATCCAATATAGCTTGTCAGTGACACTTTGTTTGGGAAAATATATAGATATATTGAAAAAAAAAATTTTTTTCTGCAACTGACACAAAAGTCGTCCATTTTGATACCAGAATTAGCTCTTAAATTGACGTTTTTATTACTGACACAAAAATAGGTATGTTACTAGGCAACATTTTTAGTTCCTAGGAGCTAAAGTTGCATTTTAGTTCCTAGGAGCTAAAGTTGAACTTTAGCTCCTAGGAACTAAAAAGGATCTACTGGACATCATCAAGAATAAACAACATTGTGACGGTTGGTTATTTGGGTTGAGACACATACCTGATTAGTTTCCGATTTCAGCAGATTTGGCATTTCATACCCATGCTGGAGATATAAATACACCTTATTATAGTTTAGTATTTTAATTATGAACATCTCATTTGAGTATTTTTGTTTTGTTCAGGGAAGTCTTCAAGATTCAAATACTTGCGTGATCTGTATTTCATTCGTTATCCGCGGAATGGCTAACTTGTTTTTGAATAATCACGGCAAGCAATAGTTTTTTTGTCTCAAACAACGATATTGTTTAGCTTCATTTGATTATCAAGTCAAACACAGTGTAGTATGCCAGTATGGAGAGAAATAAATAATCACTATTATCATTGTTGATATGCTCACTAACCTAACATTTTCCACGTCTTGTTCCTATAGCTGGCACTGGCGCGGTATTTGCCATTAGAGCACCTGATCCATACACAAATATGTCACTCTGTGGTTGTATTTATATTGAAACTACAATTTGAACCTCCTAGAAAACCTAACCTGCTGTTAATGCAGGTAGAATATTCTCACCACATGGAATATTTGTCAATATTTGTTACATTGCATACATATGGCACGGCATTGGTGGTTACTTCACATGTTTATTTGAGTTAATTGTTCCGGTTGCAGAAAAAATAGCATGTTTCATTCAGATCAAAAGTGACTTTGTTCGACTCGCAAATTTTGCTTTTGCTCGGCTTCGCTAAACGCTCCGCCTCGCAAATGCAAAATTCGCTTGTCAAACAAAGTGTCACTTTTGATCCTAATAAAACAATCTACTATTACTTATCTTTGGACGTTTCGGGAACGAATCGCATCCCGTTCTCAACATAAAAATGAAAAATATTTTTTTTATAGTTTGATATACTAATGTTGGCATATAGATGAGTGATGATGTTAGTATACAAATGAGTTACAGGATGGTTTCATCAATCGATCTTGAATCTACCAATTTCATGTTCAGTTTTCAGTAGTGAACACCATGTTCTATCCATATCAACTGAACAGGAAGCAATGCTATTGTCTCCGTTCAGAAGAATGCAAGCGGATTCCTTGATTTTTCTCTTATGGTTGTTATCTTCCTCTTCTATAATCTTATTATGATTCCACTCTGCCATATGTTATCTATTCTCAGTAGGGATATGTTTAGTTAGCTATGATTTATCGATATGCGTCTTTTCTTGATAGTGTACTCGTGTTCATTCATCGTTACTGAGAGAGGTCTCTTCGTTTCACCTGTATAATACTCTCCACAAACACAGGGTTTAAATTATGTTGGAATGGATCTCATTATATTTTCAGTTACGGCTCAGTCCTCGATTAACCTACAGACAGTATTGTACACTCACCTGCAAAAAAAACGACCACCTAAGAAATTAACCAAATTGGTCTCCTTCTAACATTGATAATAGGTCGCGTGCACGAAGACCGACCCTGGAGGCAAAATATTGAAACACAACCTCATTCTTCTGTGAATTATTGAAACACAACCTCACTTTTTTATTTGGTTACAGAGGAATCAAAAGGTTGAAATAGTTTTTCACAATATTTTGGCATACGAATCGTGTTTCTTGCGTTATTCATTAATTCAAGCATGCCTTCGCATTGTGCTGTTGTACAATGCACAAAAAATGCAGCAAGAGACTAGGGAATATGATTTTTCAGGTAAATAGTAATCTCACATAGTTAGCATTATGAAATGTTGTCATTCCTTATTAAAATTCCTTCTGCCTTCTGCCACTTCTGCAATACAAGCTAATGCTGATTGCTGCTAATAGATTGAAAATGTCTACAACACACACGATCGTCAGCATGTCAGACCAGTCCTAACGATTGATTGTATGAATCCAATCTTCTTGCATTATTCTAGAAATTTCAGGTATATTTCTATTAGCTGATCCTATTGCAGAAGGAATTCCGATGAGAAATCAGAGAAATAACCAAATTTAAAAAATGAAAACTATGTGAGTGACTATAGTAGGTACTTACTTTTGAATCATAATGTACCATCCGGATTTTTGCGTAATAACTTTTACTCGAGTATAGGTAGATATTTTCTAATGGTAATGGCAAGTAATGGTAGGCCCTGGTCATATTTTGGGTAATACTGTGTTCTTTGGTGTAGGGCCCCACGTGGCACGGCTCTTCCGGCGTCCACACGCACATGACCAACACGAGGATCACCGACGTGGAGATCGTGGAGCGCCGGTACCCGGTGCACGTGCGCCAGTTCAGGCTGCGCGAGGGCAGCGGCGGCGCCGGCCGGCACAGGGGCGGCGACGGGGTGCTGCGGGAGCTGCTGTTTCGGGCGCCGCTCACGCTCTCCGTGCTGACGGAGCGACGGGTGTTGCGCCCCTACGGCATGGAAGGTGAGTGCCTCCTGCTCATTATGAAGGGTGTGTAATCAGAGCCGGATTAACCCTATCAGGGTCCCTAGGTAATGTAATTCTCGGGGCCCCTCTCCCCTTGTGTAACAGTCGTCAATTTCGTCTTCTAGTCGAAATATTCAATATTTCATTAGACTGCTCAAGAATATTTATTATTTTTCTTATGTCAACATCATATAATACTAAGTAACAATATAAAACAATCATCATATATAAAATGTATTCTTAATCTCTCTCCCCTCGATTGAACAATCATTATTAATTTTCAGCATCGTCGCTTTCCATTTGTCGTATATGTGGTAATCTGCAGATTTTGGTAACTGGTCTCCGATATGATCTATCTTTCGTCTTCACATCTACCACTCTTACTTTTCCATCGTTTCCCATATAATTATACTTTCTCGATAATAACTAGTGGCCATGTGTTTCTGGGTAGCGTATCATCTACGACCAACACTACATCATCGACGCAACGATTTTCAGACTGTTAATGATGCCATCTGCTAACCTTGTTCAAAGTCGGTAGGTATTCCTTAACCCATCTTTGCCTTGCCAGGACATATATCAGCCAACGCTTGAGATACCCTCCAATGTGTTCTCAAATTGATGTCGTGCTTATCGAGTTTTCCTGGTAGTGGGGAAGTTCCACTAGAAGAACTCAACAAAACATGATTCGGCGTGAGCCTTTCGATGTCCAAACTTTCTGTTGAAACATATGTCAGAGGTCTACTATTCACTATGTTTTCAGCCTCCACAATAAATGTTTGCAGTACTTCTTCTTTAGGACTCCTTTCTTTCAGTGATACCTTCAACACATTCTTAACACATTTGATAAGTCTCTCCCAGCTACCTCCCATGTGTGGTGAAGCTGGTGGAATGAATTTCCATTCGATTTCTCGTGTGGTCATATATTTGGAGACTTTATCTTTTACCAGTTCCTCCATGGCCTTTTTCAGTTCTGTGTTCGCTTAGTGGAGGTTGGTTTCATTATCAGAATATTTCTCTCCTGAACATCCTCTTCTCCCGATGAATCTTCGCATGGTCATTATGCATCAGTATTCAGACTCTGAGCGATTTCTAAGTGGATTGCTCGAACACTCAAGCGAGTGAAGAAAACCATGTACCTTTTTTCATGTCTTCTTCCTATTGTGACGGTTTAAGGTCCAAAATATTCCATTCCGGTAATAGTGAAAGGGCGAACAGAACTCTTCAAACGACAGTACGGCAGTTGATTCATTTCTGGTACTTCGGGCTTCGCTCTTCCTTTTTTGCAGTAAAAACAGTCATTCTTACATTTCTTCATTGCACTTCTAAGTCGGAGAATCCAAAAACGTAGTCGCAACTCATTGATGACTATTTCATGACCCTGATGATGAAATTTCGCATGATAGTCTTTTATGAGCAATCTCGTAAATCGGTGTTTCGGATCCAATATTACTGGGAATTTCTGAAAGTAACATAAATCGTATGATTTCGCCAAACGACCCTTGATTCGCAGGACCCCTTCATCATCAAGAATTGGATTCAATTTATAGAGTCTACTAGTTTTTGGAACCAAAATCTTTATTTTTCAATCTGACTATTTCTTCTGGAAATGACACTCCTTGAACATGCTTCATCCAGCACTCTTCGGCAGCCACAACTCTGTCAGTTTCTACAACAATACTAGTCCTCTTCTCGTGTCTACAATTACCAATGAATCTCCTCATCCATGTAGTAGATCTTATCAATTTCATGTATTTTAAGAATCTACATACGTCTGGCAAATAATCTGCGGAATGCGGTTGTATCAGTAGTATACTTTCTTTCTTTCTTGACTTCCAAGTTGTATAAAATACTGACAAGCTTACGCCAAAATCCGCACATTTCACAACAATTACATAAAAAACGTACAAAATCCGTGCAATGTATGAAATATTGGGTTCAAACAATATTGAAATTGAATCAACTTTGTTTTTACGGTTTGGACAATGATTAAATTCTACTTGAGTATATTTCAGTTCTGTCACAGATTACCCCCTGTGGTTCTGTGGCGAAGACCAAGTCCTAGAATTGCTAAGGAAAGTGGCACACAATCAAAATAATGATAAATATGTGACAAAATCTGCATATTTCACTGGCAATAGTTGAATACTGAATTCGGACAAAATACTTTATCGATAGAATCCTTACGCTTTATTATTGGTTTGGACTAGGTGGCTTGAACGAAAATTATTGTCATTTCGTCACATTTCCTGTGAATTGAGATTTCAAATTCATGTCAGCTGTCACCCTACTTACCATATTATAACACAGATCTCACAAAATCAGAGAATCCGTTCAAAATTCGCACAAGAGATGCAGAAAACGAGCAAATGTAGTGATTCGCATATTCAGAGCGCAAAATATGTGATTGCTGCTCGACAAGGAGAATATATCACATTGTGCTAAAAATACACACAAGATTCCTTCTCGAACGCAACTCTTAACAAAAACGAAAAGAAAATAACAAATGATAAAAACTTAGTGGCTCGCCTGGGATTGAACCCGGGCCGGCTGCTTCAGGTTTCTTTCATCATGTAAGGATAGGTTCGTGGTAGCTTAACTGTTTCTTGGACTCATAATTTTGTCCAATTAAACAATTGCAACTTTCTTGTCACGAGCTATTATTGTATATCGTTTAGTTTCGGGAAGTTGAAACCTGATTTCGATTTTGATTTCAAATTTAAATATAGGTGAACTTGAGACCCATACTGAAATTCTGAATCTTTGTCATGAACAAACAAACTGAATTTTGCCTAAGCAAGTTTTCACCTGAAATGGGATCTTGTTTTGGAGTGTTTAGTGTTTCTTTCTTTGCCAGGTGGCGTTCGGCGTTCGCGTTCTTTTTGCGGACTTTGAACGCCTCGTGGAGTATATATGCTGAGATGCGTTTCTGTTGGGTCAGGTTCGCACCAGATAGCGGCCAAGAAGCTATCTGGGACAGCCCTGCACTGATAAGAGCCAACAGCTTGAAACCGGTCTGCAGGTAGTCAAGAGTTCCTGAACCACTTAGGCGCATCTCGACACTTAGGAAGGAAATACTTGCGATTTTATCCGTCTATACAAATCATTGAATAGATTTCGGGAGAATGTAATCCAATGTTCTGCGTGGTATAGAGCTAGGAAAGTAGTTGTTTTTCTCTCGTTATCTACCATTTCCGTTCATTTTAGGAACTATTGTGGAAATGACTTTGAGTCCCTCTTTGTATTTAGAAAATAGTTTGCAATCTCAATCTCATGTATTCTGATGGAAGCTTATCGTGATTCATTTCCTAGGATGAAAGAGGTAGTACCTGTGGTAGTACTATATGTATTAACAAAGAATACCTATCTACTATCTTCCAGTAGGCATTTAATTCAGAAATATATCACCATTTAGAAATCAGATGTACAATCGTTTTCAATAAGTTGCCAATGAATATACCGCAATTACAATGATACAAATCGACCTCACGGTGACTTATCGCCACAGCCCACAATCATTTATATTCTCTTGCTCCATCTCTTTTTTTTTCTAGGTGGCGAAGCGGGAGCCAGAGGCCTCAATCTTCTGATCAGAGCGGACGGTAGAGCTATCAATCTGGGCCCTAAGACCGCGGTTCCAGTCCAACCGGGGGTGAGTGTGATAAACCGCTTTGTTTACAGTTTTTTCGTGTTTTGCTAGTGTTGCGCTGAGAAATCGGCGTCCTAATAACGGATCTACGGAGCCATTCATTCTATTGATACTATATAGTTGCTTGAAAGATTCCTTTTTTTGTCCACCTACCGTTGCTTAAAATTTGTTGAAGGTTAAAGAGAGAGAAAGCTCATTATGCAATATCAACCACCTGACAGGACTATGACTATGTCCTACCTATAGTCAAACATTTTTCATCTAGCATAATATAATATAATAATATAAGTACCGAATGGAATTGTATTCTTGCCATTACAAAATCGAACCAAGTTTTTATGCATGTTTGAACGGACCTATTTTCTTGAGCTATGTCGAAGAATTATTCGCTGAAATTGAAGATAACCCTCTATTGCACAACATCGATCATCTAAGCCATCAATCATGATGATTTCTATCTCAACTTGTTGCTAATATCACTAGGATGATGCATCTCCATCTGAATCATGTCCTTGATGGGATTATGATGAATCAATTTTTGCTTAAAATTAGCATAAACAAACAAGGAAAAAGCAGAAAGCTCTGCGAGTTTAACATACACACACTGGCACAATTAGGGGAACGGGTAAAATTTACACTAAGTTTGACATCAATTTTCTCTCGAACCGATCACTCGATTCAAATTTGTTTTTCACGAATTGTAGCTTCATTCTTTACGAATACATCTGAGAAATAACCACCTCCAAACGATTCGTCTTTATATCATATACAGGGGTGCAAAGAAAGTACGGATTTTTCGGTATTCTTCAAGACATCCTGTGGAGTGAACCACTGATAATTGAAACGATTTTCCAACACCAAATTATAGCCCGATCCATCCCGAATATTTTCGTTTTTTATTCATCTTGATATCCCAATTATCCAAGAAAATATAGAGTTTCAAAGGATATTGGTATTAATTTTACCACCTCGAAACTCGAACTGGGGAGAACGTGTCGTTTTTCAACTTGTTTCTGTGAGGATTTTTACTTCAAGATGAGAATTGTTCACAGTTTTACCTATCGGTTTACTGTTTGAAGACACATATACGAATACTCTCATGAATATGCAGGGGTGATAAAAGTTGCTCCAATGTTCTTTTGGTGAAATGCTATTTTTGTTAATCAACGTTGGCTATTTTGTTAATGTAATTAATTATTGTCAAAGTCAAGCGATTAACAATTCATGAATTTGATTAATGAAAATTCAACATGAGAGATTTGACTCCTACTGATGTGGCTGTAGCATTAATTGAAAATGACCAGTGGGCCAATGTTCTTTTAACATATGAGAGCCGCATCTGCACCAATTCAATAGATGGCAGGGAAAGACTATATCGCCGAGGTGAACAAAATGAACAATTTGATTTTACTGCTTCTGTCTCCTATGGCAGAGGTTTAGTCATGGTAAGGTTAGGTTAGTCAAGAAACCACACATTTTCAGATCCAATTTGAGTTTTGAGGTGTAAATTGATACCAATATCCACCTTTCCTTTGAAACTCTGTATTTTCTTGAATAATTGAGATATCAAGATGAATAAAAATCGAAAATATTCGGAATAGATTGGGCTCCAATTTGGTGTTGAGAAATCGTTCCAATTATCAGTGGTTCAGTCCACAGGATGTCTAAAAAAAATACCGAAAAAATCCGTACTTTCTTTAACTTAGTGTAAATTTTACCCGTTCCCCTAATTGTGCCAGTGTGTGTAGTTTCAATTTCTGAATAATATCAGAGAAGAATGTCGAATATGCAGCTTACTTTCTTCTGCAATAGGACGACGATATACATTTTCAGGAAATACCAATATAGAGGCAATATACCGGGTGATTCAAAAGTAAGCGGCATCCTTTCAGGAGCGTTTTCCTTGCATGAAAATAAGGCAAATAGTTCCTATTAATAAGGGTCCGAAAATGCTTCCTAAGGGAGCTACACCCCTTTGAATATGACACCTCAAAGACGATTTTTTCTCTATAACTTCGAAATCCTACACAATTAATTTTCGAAATATGGTGTACGGCATAAACATTCGATGGTACATAAGACTCTGAATTCGAAATTTCAAAATTTTCTTCAGTGGCATCATATGCGGGGAAGAGTAAGTGTAAAAACATCCCTTCTTCTTTTGATATTAATGTTATTGTGATTTTGTTTGGAAATTATAAAATTCACGTATTCACGTATAAAAAAGTTCTCTTAGTTAATTTTGATAGAACATACCATTTAGGAGAAAATCGACTTTGAAAACTTTCTGATTTGCGTAAATCACAATAACTTGAATATCAAAAGAAGAAGGGATATGTTTTTACACTTACCCTTTCCCGCATGTGACGCCACTGAAGGAAATTTTGAAATTTCGAATTCAGTCTTCTGTACCATTAAATGTTTATGCCGTACACCATATTTCGAAAATTTATTGTGAATGATTTTGAAGTTATAGAGAAAAAATCGTCTTTGAGGTGTCCTATTCAAAGGGCGTAGCTTCCTTAGGAAGCATTTCCGGACCCTTATTGATGAGAACTTTTTGCCTTATTTTCATGCAAGGAAAACGCTCCTAAAAGGATGCCGCTTACTTTTGAATCACCCGTATAATTTCGACACATAGCCTTCTCATGGTAGGTATAGATTGGATTTGAAAATATTACGAAGGTATTCTGTTCTAGGTTCTATTGACATGCTTTAGCAACTTTTTTCCCTAATTTTTGGCGACATTTTGTGTTCAGCAGCTGGCAACACTAGTGACGTCACTAGAGCGAGCACCTCTTATTTTTTTCGGTGGTAACTGCTTATTTGGTATTCATTTTCTTAATCCTGATTCTGTCTGCTATGCGCATATGATTGAATGTATATTTTGTGATTCATTCTCTGATTTCTTTCCCAAGACTTCCGTCACTGACTACGAGGCAAATAGACAAACCTTATAAATATATTTATTAGGGATGTGAAGGTTCCATCAGAAATCATGGGGATTATTTGTGATGTGCTTTCAACGTGGCCATATTTAAATTCAATTGAAAGCGAGGAGTTGGCGTTGGTTAAAGTACAGCAGATTTGTGAGGGTTGTTTCCAGGATTCATTGTTTGCGAGAAAATTCATTCTGGGGTGTGGGATTTATATTATTCGTTTTAATGGTCAGCTTTGTGTTCGGCATTGCATGGAACACAAGTTTTCGTTTAGAAGCATGAATAATGAATAGGAATATTCAGTGGAATTCAGATTTATGGAATACCTTCCTTTCGTACAAGCAGACCAGTCAGGTTACTGAAACCTGAGCCCTTCTTGAATTTCAGCAAATACCTACTTGAAACTATGTTCATAGAATATGTAGCTGATTCGGTAATCTTCTTCCTCGAAATTTGCAATACTATAATATAACGGTCTGCTATCATAGATCATTCGCCTATACACATGCTGTGTTTTCGTTTTTGTAATTCGCTTCCTCATTGTTAGTTTGATGAGCAATGAAACGAATTACCAGATGCAGAATATCATGAGTGCCATATTTTTATATTCAGGAATAAATAACTATCTCTAAACTTCAGCCGAAACGGTGATAGGCACTCACAATTAGTTTTTATCGAATTTTAGACCAATTTCATATGATCGGCATTTTCAACCATATAATAAAATAATTTCCAACGATGACATGACACGGTGGTCCCACAATGCAAAATTCTTGACTCAAAATCTGCAACACGTAATAAATGGAAATCGAAAATTTCTCCTCTTTTTCGAAACAAAGTATGCTGCTTTAGTAAAGCATACTCGATATCCGCTCGTTCGGATTCCAAGCAATATAATTTTTTATTCGATAATCATCAATACACTTATTGTATTACAACATACGATTTTTCCACTTTCAAAGATTATTAGAGTCTGTTTTCCGTTATACGTTTTATGGAATGGATATATTTTCTGTTTTGTTTTCCTTACACGATGTAACTCTTCGTGCTGAAGTAATGTATCGATCTCGAGATTAATATCTCATCAAATACACGAGTAATTGAAAAAAAACAGTTTTTAATTTCCAACTTTGAAACCCTGTACATCGAATATGAAGACCTAAAATGAAAAATGATATCTAGAAACTCATATTGTTTTTGTTCAAGGAATATATAGTTAATGGATTGACCCCCTTTTAGTGGACACCCTGTATATACTTTTATCGCTTGGTGCGCACGAAAGGGAATCCTTACAATGTTCGAAGAATATAGTGCGTACATAGGGAGGATAGGAAGAGGAAGTAGACGTTGGAAATTTTCTTGAACTTTTAGGTTCTTGAAAATTCTTCCTTAGGCAATGGATTCTAGATCTCTCCCGTTCTATGGAGAAACCGAGGGAGAAACGAGTTTTGATAAAAATAATATAAATATTATAAATGTAGGTATTTGTTGAATGATTTAGAAATAATTACTCGATACGATCCACATTCCTGAGTTCTCAATTCTCTCATCACAATAATATTACAGGGCCAACTATATGATAGTGCAGAAAATCAATTAGTAATATCAGGCATTTTTTAAGCAAATATACATGCCTATATTCTAAGAACTGATGAGATTTCCTGAATTTCCTTAAATCGTCCAATCATTAATCACACTCATTTGTAATGATAAGAAGCTACCTAGCTTTTCCACTAACGGATATCAGCATATCTATTCTTTCACAACTGTCTATGAACCGACCTATTAATTCTGCCTACACTTTTCGTTCTTCTTGCCTAAAGAAGTCCATGGGAGGAAATGGCTTATAGACTGCCCGATTTTTTAGTTTGTTTTATGTTCTGGTTCCCACGAAAACGGAGATTGTAATGTTCAGAGAACATCGTTAGAACCAAGGGAAATAAGGTAGGAATTGGTGTTCTTCTTGAATTTCTGGGTGTTATATGCCTCGGGGAACACCTCCGTAGGCAATGTGTTCCAGAGCCTTGCTGTTCGTTGGATGAACGACATGTTCTGCAGGTCTCC